GGGTTACCCAGTGTGGGTACTTATGTAGAATAGTTGAATTCCATTTCCGTCATAATGCGGAACTCCCAAGCTTCGTATTTCTATTTGCCATATCGAGTTTTTACCAGCTTCGTTAGGTGAACTTTGTGCAAAGTCGTCTTTGGTATTATCTTACCCATTGCAACTGCAAGCGTTATGGCAGCTCACATACATGTGTGAAATAACGAGGTACGATCCCCGTACAATTCAAACGGGGATCGAAATTACGAAGGCCTGAGCCGAGGTTCGAACTCCTAGTGGTTCCCTCAAACTAAAGTCATATCCTTCAGACAGGAGTTCGCCTTCAGCCGCTCTATAAGTCCTTCCACAGGTTTGGAGTGCCATCTGTACTCGCCACATATCATCCGGTGAAGCTGTAAAGGCCAACCGCAGCCATCAACACAGAGTAGTCCGAAATAACAATTCATGCGTATCCCAAGGGCGTTTCATGATGACGTGAAGACCAAACCATCAGGTTGTTTGCCATTCCAATTACGTAAAATCTTTCTCACTCAAATCAAATCAAATTATTTTGCGAAGAACATAGGTCGTCTACATGAGTTGTGAATGTTTTAATAATAATGTTCCATTATGGGTAGCCTTATTAGGCACGATAATTAAAAAATATATATATATTAACATAATAATTTCCCGTCAGTTCATTACGTCCTCGGTCGTCTAACAGTTTTGCACAGCATATCATATTATAATGTGCTATCTAAAAATATATGTAGTATAGTAAAAGTATATTATAATAAAAAAAATCCAAATCGTATAATAATTGACGGAGTTAAATATAAAGAAAAATATACAATCGAATTGGTACCGCAATACTTTTTAAGGTCGGCTAAAAAGAACTAAGTGTATTGTCTTTATCGGTTGTAGTTAGATCTGTATATAGATTATTTTATTTTAAACACAATTTATCCTTTATGCCACAAGTAATACTGGAGAGAGTATTGGAAAGTTGCTATTAAAGTATCTTCACGACAAGTAGAGATGTTTATTACAGTATAACTTAAAGGACAAAGTCGTGAATTTCTACGCATAAAATTAAATGCACATGAACGTTATCTGATTTTCGTTTAATAGTAGCAATGATTTATAATGGGCAATATTAATTATTATAAGAAAATCAAATTATAATCCCACGTACGAAATAGTTTATTTTTTTTATTGCACGCCGTCATGGACAGATTGACATCTGCGCCTGCGCACACAGTCACCTGCAAGCGTTCGCAGTAACAGCACGCGCCGCCCGCGTTTTATTTTCCAAATATCGAACAACGAAACGACTATAAACATTAACACGACTAATTAACTAACAGTGTTTCGGAAAACGGAACGGTGTGTTGTGTTTTTTTTTTTAATCTATTACCTGTGCCCTATATAGTGATGTGACCTATTACAGATTCGATGCGCGATATTTATCGATAACCGTCGGTGACAATAACGGTCTTCTAACATTGTTATTTAGATGGGAAATTATCGAGCCTTGCTGAAATAGACACACATACGTTAATTGCGGTTAATTTTCATTACACAACACTATGAAATGCTTCGTATTGTGATGTTGTAAAATAACAAATTTTACAGCGGTACTAAACAAGTTAAATATTAGATTACGACAACTAGAAGCAACACTTTTGTTAGGTATAAATAAATAATATAATGGGAACATAAATATTTAGTAGTTATTAAGCATCATAATTTACCTATTATTTTCTTATTTTATAAGTATGGATTTATTTCTTTTTAATTTGTACTGTGAGAAGCGACAAATGTAGAAGTCTGTATATTTATGATGTACCTAACACACTTGTTTCTCTGTGCAATCATTTATTTGTATTGTCATTGAATTTGAACATTAAGACAAAATATAAAGCTATGTTCATGAAAATATTATTAATTGAAAAATTGTACATAAAGAAATTATTGAGTATATTATGCTGAAAGAAATTGCTCGATCCAACAGGTTTTAAAACTGCAGCATCTAGCAATAAAGAGTACAATTGAAAAAAAAAATTTTTTAAATTGTATATTTATATATACCACCGCTGGAAAGATTAGGTTTTATTATGTTACAAAGTCACAATTTAATCATAGACATAACAATTAAAATAACCATATATTGTTATACTTGCGATCAAAGTCTAACATTTATCAGTATAGTATTTTGTAGTTCTAGTGACTGCTATGTTATTTAGGATAGAAAACACCAATAATTTTCAATGAAAATTTCGTAAATATATAATTTTCCAATGAGTTTTCTAATACTTTGTCCCGACAGTAATGAACACTGCAAGATACAACTAAACCGTTTGCATCCGCACACGAACTCTGAAAGAATTAAAAGACGTCGAGAGAGACAGAGTCTTCTATGATATTTTATCTAAACGGGTTAAATCTTTCAATATTCAAATACAATCTGTGGTTAGATAGTTCCACAGAGGAGATTGTCTCTAAGGAAATTTATATAGTATCTATTAATGTATTATTTATTTTGTGTAAACATTTGCGTTTTATAAATGCAGGTCATGTAATAGAATAAACAAAAAAATGTAGTGGATATTCAATTTCATATTTAAATTAAAAATAAATAAATTTTATTTGGCAGAATCGCATAATTAGATAAGCAAAAAAAAATGAGTTATTTAAATTTTCGAAAACTAAACGACTTAGATTGGATATAAGTTTTTAACAGTACTTAATTAAAAAATCTCATAATAATTAAAAAATCTCAGTAGTAAATAACGTAATTCCATAATCATACAAGATGGCGATTAAAACTGAGTCGACAATTAAGAATGTCCTGTCCATATAAGTCCGTGCAAGGCTCCTTGTAGGCGACCACCATTGACTTGAACAGCCAACGCAAAAAATTGACTACCTCATGTCATCACCCACACTGACTTATTTCATAACTAATAATTATAATTAAAGGTCGCATAAATAATAAAAACAGGTATTTATTTTGCCTATGGGCCACCCGAGTTAGGTCACTTTTAAAATCATGATATGCTATTATGACCGCACCTAAGAATTATATTTGTACTTACGATCTTATTAATTAATATTAAAAGTACATTTAAAAAATTAAATTTAAGAATTAAATACCGACTGAAAATTACGTCCTAAAAAGATAGTTTTAATAGTTTTTGATGTAAACTTTTTATACACTGTTTTTTAAACTTTTTAACTTTATATTATAATAATCTTTATTATGCAAATCAGGTTTATCTTACTAAATTAATTACCCTTATTATAATTAATCCTGATACATATATTATATAAATATATACTTATATATATACAGACGTTCAATTGTTCTATAATAAAGAGAGATCATACATCATATTAACCTGATAATTATGTTAATAAATTTCATACACGTTGGTTTTAAAAAGTGGGTGTTTTGATTGTGAAATATTTGTATCATGGCCTTCATATAACTCTGCCTACATTCATAAGTCATGAAGGCGTGATGAGGAAGGAGTGCGTGCACATATATACTCTGTACTGACATGACAGATAAAATAATAAGACAAATATTAAATTCCAGATAAAAAAAACGTAATAATTAAACAGAATATCGAATACTATTTTAAAAAAACATTTTCTTACATAACTGGAAGGCAAACAAGGTGACACCTCATGGACAGTCGTAATCGACAGCTATGTAGAAGATCATCACCACAGATATTACAAAATATCATATTATGATGAACGAAGCTCCTCAGATGCTTTACCATTCTTGTTGACTTAAGATATTATGCTTCCGTTCTCTTTAGGTAGTAATTATAGGGTATAATTCCATTTGTAGTATTTACATCTCTATTGAAATCATAATAAATAATAATAGTTAAAACAATTTAAAATTATTATTACACGTTATTTTCACACGAGAACTTCATTAGCACTAGTTCATTATCAGCCATTTCCAGTCAGGGTCCTTCTTTGGCATAGACAATCACAATTAGCACATTTATTTGAAGCCTATTCCTTAAATATTTATTGTAGTCATAACCTCGTCCGCCCTTTGCATACATATAGATATGTAGTTGATACTATAAATATAGAAAGAAGTTTAAGTGTGTAGTACTCTAAGTACAATGAAAATTTTTAAAAGTTATAAATTGTATTGTATATTATATTTAGAAATGTAGAAATAGACGAAGTTGATATAGAATTATAAATAAAATAATTAATTTTTGTATGTTTTTAAAGGTGTTATTTTACTACACTTGTGTATTTAAAGTACACCATTTTACGTCTCACAAAAATAGATACTCTGCTTTATTTCGCTATCTACATCTCCAAACAGACAGGTATCTTTAAAACAAAGAAAGCTATATTAAACACTCCTACAATTAATATAACAGCTATCACCTACACCATAAACTTGATCTTATAATGAATACGTTATTTAGCATATACCTACATATTGTTTACTCAAGCATTTCGGTCAAGGCTCACCACATTTTGTTCGCATCTCTATTACATTTCTTTGTATTCATTTCATAGATTTCCTTTTACATATACAAAATTGTACATACTCATCATTCAATACGCATGAGACCAGTTTCATAGGATTTTAAAACGAACACAATTCTTTAAATGTTTCCGAACATATTGTTGTGACGTCCGCCGGAAGGGTCCAACCATAATCGACGCCCGTGCTTCCAAATAAGGCGCCAAGTACGCACCTAATCCGTGACAGTGTTAGCATTGCAACAACTTTTGATTTCAATGAATAAAAAACTTTTGATTCACTTTCAAAACTTCTCAATGATAATTTCCCACATATTGTTTATTTACTGTTAGAAAGTTTTTGAATTTAAACTTTTGTCATCGCCATAAGTGGACGGTATTGTATGGAATGCGCGTCGAATCTGTAATAAGAACGGCGGTGTAATAGTTACAGTGTGTCTTCGAACTGCGATAATATTATGCCGCGACGGCCTCGAGAGGCCTAAATCACGATGTCAATGTACCGATTCGTGAAAGAAGGTAGCAGCAAGCGTCTCTTCGTGCAGGGCACGCTTGAGAACGATGACTCGAAACCATTGAAATCGAGTCTGAAAAAGTCCTCCCAATCTCCTGTCGGGTCGCCGATCACAACAAGTTTGAATCTAGCGTCTGTTCCGAGAAGTTTACGAGAAGGCTTGACGAGGCATGAGACTGTGCACGATGGGAATTATCCGGGAATGGAGAGGACTTCTAGTTACCGCTCGGGATCTTATCGAGAAGAGAGTTACAACGGCAGAATAGTCCATGATGGTAACCAGACGCATTTTGAGTACGACGCGGGCGAGAGTGCATTAGCCGTACCAGCTTCAGCTGGTGGTAGAGGCATATCAGAGCTGCAGGCGATTCACACGAACAAAAGGTTGTCGACCGAGGTCCTCGGCTCTTCACTAGAGTCGACGAAGATCTCGAAGAAAGATGACAGCGGTCAGAGACGCATCACAACTAGGATTGTGAGAAAAGTGACCACGTTGACTCGTGGTGAGGAGAAAGCGTCTGCTGAGGATTTGGCTAGAGGTGGACGGGAAGTTCACAGATCTGCAGAGCATTACCGTCATGTGGAAATGGAGGCATCGCATCCTAGAAAAGTAAAGGTACCCTTAATAAGCGCTCTAACATGATGTGCTTTTATTTTTTTAACATGTTCGTTTTCTGTATTGATGTTACCAATAATATTTATACCTTTAAGGCTTGAAAATGTGTGAGGAAATAACAAACTTATAATGTTATATTAAATTACTTTAAATAATATTATATTACAATTCGTGAGCATTATTTATAAGTATAGATTTCACCGTATCAAAAACTCAAGTTAATGACGGCCTGTCAGTCTTATTAATGGCTTTGAGTAACGATTAGATTACAAGGAATCAACGTACTATTTCACTAATTGCTTCAGACATTTGGATAATAGTCATTGTCTCTTTGGCTGTCAAATAGAATCTCTGGCCATTTATCTAACGTGTTCCTCTATTATTACTATACACGTGCTATCATTAAACATTTGTGTTCACTTATTATTTTTCTTAGTCTCATTTAATTAAAAACAGTAGCTATTCTACGAAGGTTAATACAGTTTTGTTGCTCTTAATTCTTTTCCATTCTATGTATGGTGTTACAGTGACACCACGGTGTTGAATAAATATTAAACGTTAACTGTACATTTAATAATTAGGTGATGAACTGACGGCACATTTTGTCAGATGACACCCACAATATCATTCGATGTATTGCCAGTTCAGAGGACTAAAATGTCATGCCTTTTATCCTGTAATTTCACTACCTAGTCTGCACCCAACAACCGAAACACAGCTTGCACAGCAAGCTGCTTGGCAGCTGAAATAGTAGAGATTGAGATATCTACGGAGGCGACTTTTTACTATCCAACTTTGGTAGATCTCTGCAATATAAAAATAATCGTCCATCCACCAGATAACATCATTATTTTTTGCGTTCGTAGCACAAATAATAATAATTAAAGGTGAATTACCTATATCTTTAGACTCTTACTTTCTCTTTCTAACGTTCTCTACAAAGCCTTCAAGTCAGATAATCTCCATTACTTTAAAGCTTGTCATTGGTTACTACATCTCGTGCATTCAAAGATTAATAGACTGTCCCAAATGATAGTCGTGTTCGGTTAAAAGGTTTCGATTAGCCAACTACATATGGTCGTGAAAGGACACCCAATATGGATGTGGTTCAATTTAGCTAAAGCTTTAGAGATTTGAATACGACCTCTTTGTCGCGCTTTGTCGCGCTGTGTGTGTTGTTCTCCATACACTCATATTGATTGATATATTTCTTGTAGGTATTTATTATCTTATTTAATGTAAATCTATACGAGGTGTATTGCGTAGTGTTTTTATCTACGCCCCCAATGTAAGAGAGATTGGGGTAGACAGAAACAATAGAATGGCAAATGTCGAATACCATTTAATCATCAATTTTGTTTCCTCTACATATATCAACTTGATTATATTCCCTCTTTAGTTAACATGTCATCTATACGGATGACACAATAAATTATGTTTTTTCAATTTCTGATTTAGTACTGCTTAACACTAGCTTATGTTATGTATTTGTTTTATCAAAATAGGTAAATTTTGTAAATTTCATAGCAATTCGAATAAATTTAATTCAATTTAATATAATCTATCGGTTGAGATATAAAGGAGCCTGTCTATTCTCAGAATTATTTGCGATTACATCACTTTGACGATTTGAATTCCCATACGTTCACGATTATAGCAAGGAATTCTAACCCATCAGAATCCGGTTATTTGCGTTAGTGACAACCTAATAAGCGTTGATTACAGTCATTACATGTTTCTTGCTTTTTTCTGTTAGATATTTTCGTAATGAAGCAACCTATAACAGTTTTCTGTTTTAATTTGTGTATAGAAGTGACTGTATCTTTTTACGTTTACATCTGTTTACGTTTTTGCTATCAGAGTTTTCATATGTACATGTATTAACCTGTCTTAAAGTTATCACTTCTCGAATAAATATATCACCCATTGTCTAATGGTTTAAATGTCGATTAGAATTCTGAAATTCGTCAATTCAACATTTCCATGTATTTTTATTGGATTCCTAGGAATAACAACATGGTGAATAAGTTTAATTAACACATGATTATTGAATTATACGGATTTCTAACGTTCCTAATTTTTTGCTCAAAAATATGGAACTATTAGCAATTGATGTTTGTCATCAAAAACTATCCAAAATTACATTGTTTTAAAATTAATCCTTTAAATTTTGTTACGCTCTACTGTCAAGAGTAGTTTTTCTATTTGTATCTAAGCCTATTTGTGTTATCAGGGTGTCTGCCCATAATTCATAAATAAATATTCTCATAGATTTTTATCTTGTACGTATATTCTTTGTATAAGATTATACTCTATTTAAATTGTGACGGTACAGTTGACGCTTTCTTAGAAAGTTAATATGAATGTTATCGTAAATTATTTGTAATTTATATGAAATTATATGAATGTTACACATGAAAACGATTTCCCTGTAATATTAAATAGTTCAATAGCTGAAATAGGTCTATTGAGAATTTTAATTAATGCTGTATTTGTTGTTTTCTTTTGAGCTATTTTCCTAATTTGAAGCGTAACGACACTTACAAATACAGTAAATATATTTTTATTATAAATGCAACATTTTTGCTGTACATATCTATATCATTAGCTTCTGACGGTTCAATGATAATATTGGCTTAAGAAATTACCATGTTTTTAAATATTCTCCCGTCATCATCATCATAATTGTAGATTATTAGCAGTTTTAGACAATTCGAAGATGTAAGTATTTTAATCTTTAACGTTTTAATACTAGTAGTATCTCAGTAGAATATGATTTAGACAAATATTAACTGCAATATTACTATGCAAATTGTGAACCAACTGCGTACGAGTGTATGACCTGCGCAGCCTTGATGACGTCATCGCTTGTTTTATTGATAACTTCACATATTATTATGTAGATACGAATTCTAGTTTTTAAAATATTGCTTGCGATACAAAGAAATACTAAAGTAACTTTTATAAAATGTATATAAATATAACTGTACAGATCTATTTTTAGATGTGATACAATTCAAATCAAATGCCAAAGATGTTAAATATTATGGCGTTTTCAAATATGGCCAATTCACAAAAATGATAATGTCGTAATAGAACAAGTTTTGAATAATATAAGTATGTCATCATATCAGTATTACTATCACTTCCTAATACAATTTTGTCAAATCTGCTGATATTTAATTATTGTACCAGTAATACCTGTGAAATATTTTAACTTCATTCCGCAGATTTTATTTATTTAATATAAGTCTTAGCTTTGTTAGAAACTATCCCTCTTACCTCGTACTTTACGTTAGTAACATTTTATATGTTTTCAATTTAATATTATTATTTTTTATGACCTAGTATTTTATCAGACTATGCCAGATTTTCTACGTAATTCCTATTGTTGATATTATTACAATTTTTATATAGTCTAGTGTTCAATAGCTGTACAAAGGTTAACTGTTGACTGTCCTTTAATTATTTTCACTTGTCCGCTCGTTTGTCTGAGTCAGCTGTTTATGTGGTTTAGGTTGTCTCTGCTACAGAAGTCAACTGTTAAAAATATCTCTTCAACCAACATGTTCATAATATAAATTCTCTTATATCCACAACTGGCTTGTCTGATTCACGATTTTGTTAATATCTGTAATTTTGAGGTTCGCACGAACCCATTTGGGTACCTACAGTTGGCGCAAAGTCCCGCAAGGTCAGCAAAGGTTAACAGAAAAGAACTTTTTTAAATTTTACTTTAATTTTAAAACAGCACTTTTCCTGCTTACCTTGTATTGTATTCGCGTCTAATTTCTATTTACATCTTATACAAGTAAAAAAAATAATTCACCAGAGGTAGACTGTACGTCATCAGCATGAGTACCGCTATCTCACATATTTCTGAGGCTAAGCAGCTTAGTTTGTAAGCTATTTCTGTCGTAGGGTGCATATTAGGCCGGGAAATTATAAGGTAAAATACATAACAACATATTCACCTGGAATAGTTATGCATGAGTGATATCACAGTTGTTACACGATAATGCGACGAGTTATCGTTAATATATATACTGTTTCAAAACTTATTTACATACAGTCCAATTACACAAATAAAACTTTGATAACGTAATAACGGTATATTAAATTTTCATCTTAAAATGTGAGAGCCGTTCTCATTGGTAGGATCATGATAGGTGGATATAATGATAATAAACGCATTAAAATTACAGACACACTTTGCTTCAAGTGGAATGAAGATAGAAATATTGAAAGGCACAGGCGGTGTGAACTTTCGTTGCATTCTAAAGTTATTTCTGCAGTTGAACTTTAACTGAAGCATTTCCATGATCTATTGTTGTCATATCTCTGCTTTCAATCTGTTATGCTTTAAATTTAACAGCATTTAGTTATCATCTGGTTTAAATTTAACTTCGTGTATTGTTAGGTGTTAAATATATTATCATTCATTATATAAAACATTAGTGTATCAGAGAACTTATATTAAATATATAGAGGGTTAATTCTACTTTTTTATATTTTTAGATAGATAGTGTAGATTTAAAGATATCTAATGTATAAAAATAAATCATCAGGTATCATAATATCAAATCAGCTATCAAGTTAGTATGCACTGTTCTTAAAGATATAAAAGTTGTTACAATTATCAACTTATAATTAATCATAATAGACTCTTTTATAAACTCATCTACTGTTAATATCTCTTAATTGACCATACTATCAGAGAAAGCTCCGATAAACTGCACTGTAACCGTTTCATTTATTAATGATATTTCATAAACATCGGATCACGTAAGTTTTCACCTAATTGGAGTAGTGAGCACAGGGGCGGGGTCTTTTTAATCAACCGATCGGAACGTAAATGTCTAATTATCCGTGAGATATGTGCATGTGCCATTTTCTTACATATGCAAATAATGCACAATCAGATATAATCAAATAATACGCTACAGGTCTGTACAATCCTCTCATTACCTTCTTGATCAGTAATTGATAATAAATACTCT